GATATTCAATAGTATGGATCATAGTATGTTAGGGAATCCCGGTTTAGAATTCTAGGGTTCCGTAGAATTGTCCTTATTGCGTCGAATTGTAGGTTGAAAACCATTAGGGTGTCAGATGATAAAAAGGAATGATGAAATAATGTTGTTTGATGTTATAATGGTGCAAGATAGATGTGTTTTGGTGTTTCTCATGTTGCAATTCGTATGGGTATGTTTGGAATTGGTTTAGAATGAATAAATGCTGTCAAAAGTGCAGAATTTGACTCTGCAGGTCGTGGGAACCGGTTCCCAGTGGGGAGGAACCGGGTTCCACTGTGTGAATTTATAAAAACTGGCAAAAATGCACGTAGGAACCGGTTCCTGTATAGGTAGGAACCGGGTTCCCATACATTTTTCCAGAAGCGTGATTTTTGAACTTCGCAGGAACCGGTTCCTGCATATGTAGGAACCGGGTTCTGCTGTAACTTTTGAAAAATATTAAACTTTGAAAATTCATAACTTTCAAACCGTAAGTCCGTTTTGAGTGCTGTTTTGGACGTTATTTCTTAAATTTAATGCTCTATTTTATAAAATGAAAAGATTTCCTAAAACCTGAAATTATTTTGAAAATGAGTCAAATCCCGGAATAAGTGATTATTGGCTAACACACATGGGTGTGTATGTAGCAGTGAACCTGTGATGGATGGATGTATTAGTATCGTGTGAATGAAAGGCATGTTTATGTTGCTAATGATGGTGTGCATGATCGTTGAGATATCATGTTTTTGGTTTTGGTTCAGTTATGATAAATTGATGTATTTCATAGACTGATTTGATGTTGCATGCTAGTGATGTGCGTGCATATGCATTGTTTTGGTGAAGTTAATTCCCATTGTGTGGAATTTGACTTGTATTGCCGTTAACTGATACCCGGATGATGATGGGTGGTTAGGCTGGATTCGTGTCCGGGTGTTTATGGACGAATCGATGGTTGCTGTATCCGGTTGATGATGGATCAGTGTTGGGTGACTTGGTCACGTGTTGGTACCACATGCATTGTATCTGCATTTGTGTTTGCATGGAATTGTAACATGTTAGGATGTCTTCCAGTGTTACAATTCTTCGGTTGATTATTGATTTGTGCATAATGACTTGTATGATTGGAACTGCGTGTTGAATCTGAATTTATGCTAAAATGGGTGAAATAATATGCTTGTGATATAATGTTGATTGAGAAGCTTATAATGCATGTTAATTATGAGAAATCTCACCCTTACTTTAACAATTTCAGATTAAAGTTAGCAGCTCAGGAGTTGGTGAGGATGGCTCTAGAGCTATGTTACTTTAAGTTCGCGTGTCAGTGTCGTGCTCTGATAGGTTGTAACACTGGGGAACGTTTAGTTGAGGAATTAGTTATTATTCAATTGTTTCTTTGAATTTCATTGGGAATAATTATGTTTTGGTTTATTCCGTTTTGGTTATGGTATTTTTCCGCTATGTAAGATATGGTCTTAAGTTGATTGAATTATTTGAATAATGACCCTCAGTGTAGCATGACTACTGTTTTATTGAAAGTTTTATTTATTTCATAATTGTGACATCCCTTGTTCCGTGTTAACTCTGATGGAATATGTCTTTAATCATTTATATAATTAATATTATTCGGGGTATTTTAGAAGGGGTGTTACAGCAAGTACACAAGGGAAGGCTAGAGCTGGAGTATTGTTCAACAGAAGAGCAGGTTGCAGATGCATTTACCAAAGCATTGAGGGTTAATCGTTTTGACAAAATGAGGAAGGAGCTTAGTGTGGTATCACTAAGGAGTTTGAATTAGAGGGGAGTGTTGAAAGAATAATTCAACTACATTGATCAATGACTGTAATAAGAATTAAGGGCTGATTGGTTAGTTTGTTGGATAACCAATTATAGTTAGTTTTCTAATAGTTTGTTACATTGCTTTAAATAGCAAGTCTGATTGTAATAGTTTGTTAGAATGAAAAATAAAGAATAACTCATTCTTTCAATCTCTGAGTTCTCTCTCTATTCTTCTCTTTCTGTTCCAACAATGGCTTTTCAAATGGTAATAACACTATGGTTTGTCATCTTCACATAACACTATATGGCCTGAAGCACCCCCCTCTATGTAGTGGTTTGAAAGACTAAAAGGGACTTTGATTGACTTTGGTTTTGTATTCACTAAATGTGACTCCTCACTATTCACTTGCATTTCTAAAGGTTATGTAGTTTACATTCTTGTAAATGTATAGTGCCTTATTTTTTATTCTTGTTTTCTTTCTGTTACTCAGGGCACTGCCATCTGATTTTAACTTTCTAGGATTAATTATATTCAACTACAAAGGTGTACGTTATCCCTTGCTAACTGTACATTAAGATCTCTATACAAATAATTGTATCTCATTCTATTACAATCAACCAAAACAAATTTTTAGAAATTACTCTAGAATGCATTTCTGCTATCATTCACCATTTCTAAAATTAACCTTCACAATCTTCTTTGTGAATCTCTACTTTCTTAATCCCTTGATTCTCTTACAATTTATTTCTCTTATCTTTCATAACAATGGAAACTTTGAACTACATTGATTTTTCTACAAACTCTACAGATCCTTATTTATTTACATTCAAACGAGAGTCCAATTTTGATTCTAGTTACTCGTTTAGATAAGAACTATCATACCTGTACATTGTATTGCTTTTTAAGAATAGAGAAAATTTTATTGATAGATTACTTTTCAAACCTTCAGTTTCTAGTCCATTAGAGAGGCTTTGGATCCGTTACAACACAATAGTTTTTGTTTGGAATCATCATTAAATTTAGGAAATTTCTTAATCCATTCTATAATTTTTTTATGCACCGCGTGAAATTCCAAAAATAGTCTAAAATGTATTCTACACATATAATTTTTTTTGTTTTTTTAAATATATCTTATTTTACGACTTAATTTATTTCCGATAGTTTTCGAAAATACAATTGTGGTATCTAATGACTTTCAAGTGACACACAGACACCACGACAACCACTTTCATTTTTAGGAGTTTCGACGGCATGCTGTATCTGCTTGCCTTTCTGATTGGAATTTCGACGGCAGGCTGTTTTCTATTACTTGTAATCGCGCACTCAGTGAAGTTTCCCTTGGAAATCTCATATCATTACTCTCTGCAAAAAATCCACTTATCTAGGATAGTGTAAAATATGTGAAGAGTTGAGATTTGCATGAGGAAAAATTCCTAAACCTCAAAGAGCAATTTTGTTGAATAATATAACAAGTGTGAGTATGTGAGAAAATAATCTCATGTTAGATAGGAATGTGGAGATTTAAATATATATAAGTGGGAAAGTCCACACACCTATCACCTTAAAGTTTTAGGTGGATAAGTGGTATGTCTCTCACAAAGGTGCTTATTCCTACACTATGTATCGATGCTCCTAATATCTTCCCCAACAGTGATATCAGAGTCTTTGGTTAGAGAAAGAGACCGGAAGAGACTTGTATCGAAATGTGTCCAGAAAATAATATTTCGTTGCAAGATGTCAATGACGGTACAAGTGAGGTAAAAAAACGGAAGTTTATGAAAAAAGTGTATTCCAAAAATATATATCTAATTTTTCAAAGACTCATAGACATTTTCAGAATTGCATAGAATATTTTTTAAACCTACGAAATAGGATAAGAAATTTCCTATATTTATGCATCAATTTCAAAATATGTTCTCTCAATCAATATTGCAGTTGTAGTTTGGAAGAACTTGAATATCAATTTCTCGCATAGTGATATATTCGACATTTCCAACATTTAAGAATATTTTTACAAGTTTAGTCAAGACACTCTTTGATGTTTTTAATTACTTACAGGGTTGAAAGTGTTTTGGAATTAACTAGATTATAGATGAATTCCTCTTTGTAAATGTTCTTTCCAATGTTCACGTGGAGTTATTGATTCGATTAAGATCTAGATTGTGTCGTTAGATTTCTAAAAGGTTTGAATGAATATTTTGTCCATCACAAATCATAATGATGAATCCATTAAACGATATTGAAGATAGTAAAAACTTATCAATTAAACGATATTGAAGATAGTAAAAACTTATCATACAATAAGAATATGAGTTAACTGGATCAATTATTGCATTTTTCGATACTGAGCAATTTAAATGTACTACTACTTTAAAAGTTATTTCATTTTAGCAAGGAAAGAACAATTCACGAGAAAAAGGTAAAGACCAAGGCAATTTTTCAAAACGTACCAAAGATGTGTGTGTGCACATTGTGGAAGACGCAATCATTTAGTTTATGCATGTTTTCTCAAGCATGATTTCCCGCAGATTACAAACCTAAAGGGAAAAATCAACAAAATTCTCAGGCCAATGCTGTTTCTAATGAGAACTCAACACGTGGATTCTTCTTCACATGAATATTCTTCCATTCTATTTTGTTTTACTAAAGAGGAGTATAATAGCATCATTGAACTATTGCAACAGTCAAAGTCAACCACAAGTTATTATGTGGTATTTGGTTCCTCTCTCATATCTTTTCACTACACACCAAATCCATCTTACACAACCCCTCTCTGCTTTTCTATTTATTGGAAAGTCCTTCACTCTTCCTTGAGAAGAGCTTTAGTTTCCCTTTGATGTTCCGACTTAAGTTATGTCTTGCTATCAAATGAATCACTGTCAAGTGAATAGTATGCTAGATCATCAAGTTAGAAGCAAATCACCAATTTAATAACTAAGATTATAGTCAAATAAATATACAACAAAATGTTGCACAGAATTGTGCCAGGCACATACGAATTAATTTAGGAAACACTTAAAATCAATTAATTGAACAGTATGCTACATCTTTCACATTGCCAGAGTGTACTTTAGTGTGTGAAATATTCTTCCTAGAGACGCTGGTTTATAAAAACCAAATTCCTAATTCATTCTTATATCAAACCTTTTCATCCTAGAGTACCGTTGAACTTCTACATTTAAATGTGACACCTGCAACCAAAACATCAATCTTGATCGTTTTCCTCTGATGAATCATGGTTCTTGAGAGCATCAAGGCTGAGGAGAAATTTCACCCCAGAAAGAAGACATTAAAGCAATGAACAATAGTAAAGAGTATTATCAGAATGGTAAATAAAAAACAAGATAAGATTATGAATAGAAAGGCTCAAGTATATGGCCGACCTGCATTTTTGAGGAACCCTCCAGGAAACAACTGACAGTTTCTTCAAACTTGGAGACAATGATAAATAATGTTTCCAATCCTGAAGCATAATTCGAAGGTCGTGAAGCTTGCTATCCATACCAAAGCAACAATTTGCATGCATCGTACAAACTTGGTTTAGATCCTTACTGGGCTCACAAAGCCCACCAAAATTAGTTGTATCCAAAAATTTCATCTTCAGTCCAATATGAGCAATGAAAGGGTGATCCTTGATGAAGTTAAGGACATCTTGATCATGGTATCCAGGATAAGTTTCCCGAGAAGAATACCAGAATTTGTAAAACTCTATTGATCTATTATTGGACTTTACAAAGTTGAATCCTCCATTGGGTCGGTTCTCTACATCATCAGAGCTACCTGTGAAATGATCACAGGCTATCTGGAAATCTGCATCAACGTAAAACTGCGGAAATGGGTCCCTAAACCACATAATATCAGCATCCTGGAAGAGGAACACCATAGTAAGCTTCTAAACAAGAGAGCTTAGAAATGTAACATAGCTTCTTATATAGCTTCTAATAACATTAATTGTAGGAAGATATGATAATAACAGCAAGGATAAAATGCATAGCCATAAACTTAGCAGCAATAATAACTAGTTATTATTGGTGAATTTAATGACAAATGTTAAAGTTAGTTATTATTGCTACAACAGTTCAACAGCAACTCGTAAGCAACTCGCAAGTCAAAGTTTATGAAAAATCTTTGGGTTCATCATTTAATTTTTACTGTGTCTACACTGTAATGCCTGGAAATGAAAAAGGAAAAGAAAAGTAGAAGATGGAGGGGAAAGAATGGTATGTTCAATTATCAATGATAACTAAGGAATGATAATTCCCAAAATAGGAAAAAAGTAGCTTCCACTTTATTCACAGCCTCAACTATCAAACTTTACATTTTCTTATCAAATTTCTATAAAAAAATATACCATGCTCCATAGCTTGGTTAAAAATATAAAATCAACTATATGGACTTATATTGCTATAATCAGTATATTCTTTACATGTAAAATGCTGACAAATTATATCATATGGATACAGAGTTGACTCAAAACATAAGCAACTCATTCGTTCATTCGTCTAACAGACAAATATCCCTTCATTAAGCACGATTATCTACGAAAATCCATCACAATGACAACAAACATTGAACTTAAGAGAATTTTGTACATGGCTGATGAATAAAAACAACCTTAAGACTTACATAACTATGTCCTAGTGAACTTGATGAGATTAGTGATGAAAAAAATACCGTGAACACAAAATTGTATCCCATCTCAAGAACAGAACGCAGGAAATCAATCCTTCTCCACATCATCATCAAGTAGCTAGGAGTCATAAAGTATGCTTCTTCATGAAAATCAGCTTCTTTACTAGCAAGGAAAAAGCAATGGATATGTATAACCTGACAGCGTGCAAATGCCTTTTGATCCAATGCAATGATTACCAAATGGTTTAAAAGCCTACGAGTATGATCTCCTATTCTGAAGCTTTGAAGGAAAAGATCAATGACAGAATTTGGAGCTGTCCATGCTTCATTTAATGTGGTCAAGATAACAGTTTTGTCTTCCATGGCAGCATCGTTCAAGATTTTTTCAAGCGGAAATTCGTTGCTAGTCTGCAGAAGAGTCGATTAAATTTACCTTTTTCATGGACAAATGCACAGATTAACCACGACAGTAAAATAAGTAATCCCTCCATCGGGGCAGCAGATCAGCATCAAGATACTCTCCTGGTAAAATGGTAATAAAACTTTCATGCAGGTTATGGTCATGCTGATGCTTATTATGAAACTAAACAAAATAATGAATTATAACTATGAAACAACCATCACTTGTAACAGAGAACAGTCTATTCATATTTTGCAACACTGACCATCACTTCTAGCAAAGAACACAGTCTACTCATACTTTGTAATTCTGACTCACAATTCATATCAACAGTGAAGAAATCACAGCCGGTTAGTATAAATGTTAAATCTCTTCCCGTCCATTGTGTAGGTTAACAATAATCATAAAAAGCTCATCATCAATTCATCACGTCGTCAATCTGTCTTGGTTAATGCTTGGGAAAGATCTAACTGAAATTTCAATTTTATCAAATCTTACTACCTCAGGTCCTCACATGACGCACAATCCCATGGAACTTAAGGAGATATCAACTGCAGAGGGCTAGTGCATGTTTAGTGTCAAGATGAGTTACACAAAATCTACAAATCAATGTGAATTTTAGAAATCCTCCGCGATTACCAAACAACCACTATATAACACAGATTTTGATCCAAAATTAGTGTTACGGTACTAAAAAGATTTTACAAATCTCTATCGTCTCTCGAATTTAAGCATAAAACTGAAGCGCACACAAGGAAATCAGACACCGACGCAGCAACACCAGTAATAATTTGAAGAAAAAAATGAATAAATTGAACTTAACAACATGTATCAGTCTCATGTCGAAGTCGGCCACGCCTACCTTTGTTGTCTAACAGAATATTCAAGTTCTCATAAGAAATTAGAGCTTAAATTGCATTACACAGTCAATAAAATAACACATTGAGAATACCAGAACTTGATACGCGCGTTTGAGGTAGCACAATGCACAACAACTACATTATAATCAAATGCATACACGAGAGAAAATTAACCTTCAAATTGCTTTTCAATCGATAACACAATGCAACAAGCACACGAAAAACAACAATGCACAAAATGCTATATCTCGATTTAGTAAAAAAAATGATGCGATACACAAGTAGAGAGAAGATGGAACTTACCACAGCCAGATCATTAGACGGAAAAAAGCTAGAAAGACGAGCCAGATGATAAGAGGAAGAGAATCCAGAGAAGAATCGGTGGGAACCAACGTCTCTGAGAAGAATTAAGCAAGAAAGAGAAACGGTGGCGAAGAAGAGCGCCGTGACGAGGGCGCAGCGGAGGTGAGAGACTTTGGAGTCCTGCAACATGTCGTCGGTGGAGTCACCGGCGGTGAAGTTGTTCGTTTTTGTGAAAAATGTGTGGCGGCGCGTGAGAGAGTGTCGGTGGGGACATGTTATTAGTGATGCATGAAGAGAATGTGAATGAAAATGGAAATGGAAGTGAAGAAGAGTGTGAATTAGAAGTATCGAGATTTGTGGAAAATCCGTTGCGAGCGCGGAACTAATTCTCGTGTTATTACTAACTGGTACGGCTTTTATGACTTTAACCTTTAAATTTCTTACTTTCTTTCTTTGTCTTTTTAATTTAAAAAATTTATTTTAAAATAATTGTTGTTTTACTTTTTCAATGTAATATTAATTGATTTTTATCAATTTTATTCTTAATTAATTATATCTATACTAATTTCAAGATATTAAATTTTATTTTGCTTTTATAATAATATAAAAATAATCAATAATCATTAAAAATAATTTTGTAAATGTGTTATATTTATTCTTTCACTCATTACTTTTTTAATCTGTGTATCAGAATTTTAAAAGATTTTTGTTTTTGGATGGAAAGGGTATCATTTATTAATTATCTTTTTTCTAATATTTTTTTATATTTATTAATTGACTACTTCAGTCTGACTTGGTTAAGAAAGTTGAAGTTTGTCTTTCGACTTCCTTTTGAAGATATCTTTAGTTTGTAATGGTTTTTCTCATAACTAGTGAGAAACTCGTGCTATCGCATGGATTCCATCTGAATTTTATATTACATGATCTAATAATGATTTGCAAAGTTCTTTCTTATATCAAAGTTAAGCTAATCAAACTTAGTCAAAATTCAATTTATTTTGAACTAAATTGTATATTAAACAATAAAATGAACATGACTGACACTAATAATACATACAAACTTTTTAGTCTTATAAATCCACATATAAATATATTCATACTATCAATTTCATAATTGAACTTCGTCAATGAAGGAAGCAGCCAATAACAACAACACGCGTCATATATCTCCTTGGAGAAATGTATCAAAAAGATATTAAATATTTTGCATATTTAAAAAACTAATGAAAGTATGTGGTATCTAAACACATAAATTAAACATTGAGATTTAATTTGTATCACAAAGGAAGAGTTGAAAAAGATCACCAACTAACAAAGTGTTTGGAAAACTTTCTTGTATACAATATTCGTAGTGGTCAAACATGGTGCATTCTCCTTGTCATGTATTAAGATTTTAAGAGCACTTTTGGTTGTAACTCTCGAAATTGCAACATACAATTGTCCATGACTAAAAACGGGTGTAGGAAAATACAATATGACATTATCAAGTGATTGGCCTTTGAATTTATTAATTGTCATTGTATAAGAGACAATGATTGGAAATTGTCTCTAAATCAACTTTAATGGCCACAATGACTCAAAAGGTGGCATAGATATTTGAGGGATGTAAAAAATGTTACATATGTTCTTTCGTGATATGATTTTTGCCTCAATGACGTGATTTGCTAACCTTGTAACAATTAATCTTGTTCCATTGCACAATCAATTAGTTTGATCCAAATTTCTCATTATGGGGGTACTAACCTTCAATTTGATCCTATGATTTGAAATCCATGGTGTTCTTAGTTTACTAAGAAGTTCTGGAGTTAGAACTTCATAAGCTTTAGTATAACTTGTATCGGTTCTATCAAATGAATCGAAACTTAAATACTCTTTCTCTTCTCTTAAAAAATGAAATAAAATCAAAATATTAATACATTAATAAATCTAACATGATATACAACTTTTTTGTAAGCTGTATGCATATATATAGACAATAGTTAACATTTAATTACCTAGTATCATGTACAGTACATAATGATTGATTTTGTCCACAACTTCAATGGTTGATGCAAGAATTACTTTTCCTTGTAAATATCCAACATCTTGAAAATTCTCCAACAAATTGGGATATGTTCTTTCAACAATAGCTTTTATAGGATCATCAAAATTGGATATTAATAATTCTTGAGGAATCTCTATCTCAACCAATTCATCATTTGGTTCACATATCTTATCATCTCTAATATTTAAGATCCATTTTGAAAATTCTGCTAGTTCATTAGAACTTGTATTATCTCTTCTCTACTACAGCCTCGTATTTTTTGTTACTGTTAGAACTTGATAATAGTCTCATACATAAGATGAGCATATTGATGCATGAACAATATCTGAACACCCTACTCTTAGAACAATTGGAAGAATCTGTCTGGAATCTCCTCCAAAAACAACAACTTTGCCACCAAAGATTATATTCGCAAGACCGTTTTTGCTCATGACATCTTTGAGTGTCTTATCCAATGCTTCAAAGCAGTTCTTATGAGACATAGATGATTAGTTCCATATTATCACATCGGTTTCTTCAAATAACTGGAAATGTTCGGAGTTTTTGTCAACATTACAAGTAGAGTTATCAAGTGTTGGCACGGGTATTTTAAACTTTGAGTGAGCAGTTCTTCCACCTGGAAACAATAATGAAGTTATGCCACTTGAAACAATAGAAAGAACAATTTTTTCTGTGAACAAAGTGCACTTGATAATGTTCTCCACATGAAAGTGAAGGTAGAGAAAACACAATAAAGGGGGGGTTTGAATTGTGTTCATAGAAAACATTTTCCTTTAGAAATTCTAAGCACTCAAATGATAATAGTTATAAAGACAATGAAGAGAAAATGACACAAGTATTTTATCCAGGTTGGCCGTTAATTAGGCTACTCCTGTCCACCCCTGCAAGGATGATTTTTCCTTATCCAAGGATTTAATCCACTATAACCAAACTGATTACAAGTGCGCGGGCAACCGTCGGTGACTAACACACAATGACACGTTCAATGATCCAACCGGATATGGCATTCATTGACCCAATAGAATCTGATCCCTCAAGATCTTCTACCAGGATTTCCTTTCAATGATATCCATCAGTGATCTCACATGAGTCTGACCTTCACTCGGGCCCCTTTGAGATATGACTACCATTGACCTAATAGAATCCAATCCTGCAAGATCTCCTATCAAGATTTCCTGACCATAACCATTAACTTATTGAGATCTTACTTTCACCAAGACTCCCAAGGAATCAATTAACAACAGTTGATGGTGATCTTGTGTTTACATAATGCTTCTTCTAAGTAGATTACACAAGTATTTTAAGCACATATTTTTTAACACTTCTTCGAGAAACAACTCAAGTGTTAAAATAATTTACATGAAGAGATTCTAACAGAAACACTATACGAGCAACAACTCTAGTGTTTATTACAATGTTCTATAAAGATGTATATGATCATACGTTGAGTAGCATCTTGTAGTGTTCTTCTTCATCTTCTTGTTGAACAAGTTACGAGCAACAACTCTTTGCTTCTCCTGAGATCTACCAAGATGTATGTGATTGGAAGTTTAATAGCATCTTGTAGTCTTTTTCTTCTTGAGCAAGCTACGAGCAATAACTCCTTGCTTCTTTTGTTTCAATCAAGATGTATATGATGATATTTGTATGACATCTTATTGAAATCTTCTTTCTTTCTTTTCTCTCTTCTTTAGTGGTCTTCAGAATATGTAGCATTGCAACTTTAACATCTTCAGTATCTACGACTTTCCTCTCACAAGATGAAGCTTGATGGCTAACGGCTAATGGTTCTCGACAACTTTCTTTGAATCTTTAATCTTCTTTTATAGTCTTTGTCAGAGAGAGACATTGTGAGGGTAGAAAGGACTTTTCCTACACCAACGGTTAGTTCCCAACAAATAGAATAAGGTGTAGGAGTTTAGATAATATAAAATAATATTTATGTATCTTGTCACTGTTCAATGATAGCTTTTCACCTTTTTTATGAATAATGTTTTTCTATTAAGCTTTTAAACAGAGATTCGTTAAGTAAAGAAAGATAGTTGTAAATCCAGCAGTTTGTTCCCAACGGTCAAAATAAGAATGATTGACAATACAATAAAGGATTGTCCTTACATCACCCTAGAGGGTAGAGGTCACATACACTTTATGTACTTTTTGTACAACATCACATGTTTAACCATTTGAACTTTCTTCTTATCATCAAAGGCTTAAGATATTTGAATATTGAACGTTGAAGCTTGTTGTAGAACATTCACTCTTTAAGTCTTAAAACCTAAGTCTTGGAGTCTTCGGAACTTATCACATAGAACCTTGTCTTCAGAGTCTTCAGCACTTGATTGTAAGAACTTGTTCAACAGAACCTCGTCTTCATAATCTTCTGAACTTGTAACACATATAAGCAAAGCTTTAGAAGGCCTCCAAAGCTTAACCATAAAGTCAAGATCATAATCTCGTATACTAATGTTCCTTAGACATGTCGTAGAAGATAAATTCAGAACCTTGACTTCAACTATAACATGTAACCACATGTTTTCTTCTAGTAGTGTATGTCCAGAACCTGATGGCGTCACATGCCTTGTACCAGAGTCAGAATATTATAGCATAAGCTACACACTAGAACAAAACCATTAGTGTATACAATTATTCTCTAAGATAACATGTAAAGTTATCATCAAAATCTTAAGGCCATATGTAGAAACACTTCTTGTTCTTAGAATCTCCCCCTTTTTGATGATGACAAAATTATACATTTTGATAGAACAATTTATACAGGGTAATCACTGTAACCGATAAATTCAGAGTTAAGCTCATAGCTCCCCCTGAATCTATTAAACTCAAAATTTTGTTTTAGCTTGTTCAGAGTCTTCCCCTGAGCCCAAGACTCACAAAATAAATTTTGAGCATTCAGAACATAGAATAGAGAAGTAGCACTTCCATACAGAAACTCATCAGAGTCTGACTAGAACACTTGGTCTTCATCTCAGAACATGGTTTCTATCAGGACTTGGTGAAGAATAAAACTTGGTTTAGAGCCTGATTAAATAATGCCATGCATCATGTATCAATGCTTATGTTCCATGATTCTAATATCACAACCAAAACATTATACTTCTCAAGCATCAGCGTTTGATATGATATTTTC